CTATTAATAACGAAGGGGAGTTGCCACTTTTTAATGCTCATATGATATACCCCTTAAGGAACTATACATATGGTAGAATTCTGTAAGGTTCCTCATGACTCACCCTGTATAATAATAATTATGTTCCACTGAAACAAAATAGAAATTTTTTAAATAATTTTAACACACCTAATAATTTTTTCTACAAACAAAGAAATAATTTTCCCTCTCAACCTTTTAATGTAAATTCAAGACCCATTCAACGTAACTACCCAACTAATGCCCAAGTTTTCGGACAAAATTATCCAAATAGGAATACAAATGTATTTAAACCAAATCAAAAAACAAATTTATTAAACCCTACACCTATGTCAGTATCAACTAGAAATACTGCACAAAATTATTCAAGACCAGGACCTTCGAATTAATTTAGACATTCGGTGGGTGAGTCACTCAATTTTATCTCCGAAGAGTTATTTAACTCTCAAACAGAACCTATATATATAATTCAATGATTAAAAACCCTGAAAATCAATATAAAAATGAATATAATGATTACCAAGAAGTTAATTATAATAAGGGTCAAACTCCAAATTTTCGGTAAAGGCCTCGGAACAAAATAGCTCGCAACAAAATCCCGTACACATTTCAATAAATTGTGCGGATTTAGGTGAATTACCCTATATAATTTTCCCGGGGCATAATTTAAAAATACTGGTGGACACAGGATCTTCAAAATCATTCATCAATCCTGAAGTAGCTGAACGATTTTACCCAAATGATATAATTGATGAACTATTTTTAGTGACTACAGTTTGTCAAAAATCAGCACATAAACATAGTGTAAATATAATTGCTTCTAAAATAATATTGAAAAATTAAAATTCTTTTTATTTAAGTTCCACAAAGTATTTGTTGGCTTAATAGGCATAGATAATATTAAGTTATTGCAAGCAAATATAATGTTTCAACAAGAACGTATTGTTACACCATTTGTAAATATTCCACTTCATTATCATAAGATAGGAGCTTCTAAATACTCTAACTATAATAACACAGTTTCCATTGAACCTAGAACTCAGCAAATAATTAAAATAAAGACCTCTATACAAAACGGCGGTATAATTATTCCTTATAAAAAACTTAATAAATGTGAGATACCCGAATGTGTTACTTCAGCAAAAGATGGTTGCGCATTAACCACAATTATAAATAGCGATATCAATACAAAAACATTTGATTTGTCAAAATCTAGTAGAGTAGAAAAATTTGAAGAAAAATAAATTTCTAATTTAGAAATATACAATATTAATTCATGTTATAATAAAATTGTATATTTAAAAAAGACTAAAACAGACCCTAATACTTTAGAAACAACATCCTTGGATGTAAACAAAGATGTTATTAATAAAATAGTTCCACAAAAGTTAGCCAATTCACATCCTAAATTGGACCAAAAAATAGAAAAAGTTCAAGTATATAAATTAAAGGTTCTCTTGGATTACTGGGGTATTATAGACGTTTTATAAAATATATCGCGAGAATAACCAAACCATTAACTAAATGCCTAAAAAAAGGAGCAAAAATAGAATTAAATGACGAATATGTAACATACTTTGGAACTTGTAAAAAACTTCTTACTAATGAACCTATCCTTCAATATCCAAACTTTGAAAAACCTTTTAACCTTAAAACAGATGCTTCAAATGTTGCAATATGTGCTATATTATCTCAAGAACCTATAGGTCAGGATCTACCAGTAGCATATGCTTCACGTACACTAAATGAAACTGAACAAAATTGCTCCACAATAGAAAAGGAACTTCTGGTAATAGTTTCGGCTGTCAAATATTTCCGCCCTCTATTTTTAGCTACAGGCTTTCTCGAAAACATCTCGCTTTCTCGGGATCACTCAGAATAGTGCACCACGGAGACGCAATTAGCCAGAGCGTATGAAGTGTAACTGGGAGTTCACTGCACAAATGAACAAATGGAGAAACAGTCCTTCCTCACAAGTACCAATTAATTTGAGCACTAAAGTAAAATTTACTCGAGTACTGCCCAGCTCTGGTTTCAAAATAGTAAAAATTAGATATATTCAACAAATGAACTCATTCAAACACCCTAAATCAAACGAATTATCGTTCATATCGAGTCACTAGAGTAGTCGTAGCTAAGCAACATAGATAAAAACGTAAAAATTTTGTTTTTGTGTCATCTATGACGTCTCTGTACTCTTTAGCTATTGAAAGTCTAATCATAATTGCCGTTTGCAGTTTGAAGAATCGAATTGTCGTATATAACGGAATATACAAAACCATTTAATTGCAATTTAATTTTTAGACACGCTGCAATAATTATAGAACTCTTCAAAATGCAATTTTCTATCTGCAATTACTGTTTATAACGCATGTAAAAAGTGTAAATTAGAATGGGAATTTCTAATGTACTACTAAAGTTTGATTAATAGGATATTTCAATCAATCATTGTTATAAAATTAATTCAGGCGGGGATAATGGTATCTGGGTTTATTGATAATAACTTTATAAACATACTGTAGAATAAGTAATTGAAGAATGGAAGTACCAAACGTACTTATAAATAAATAAATAAAGGATACTTAGGAAAACAATATTTCAAGTATATTTTCTTTTCACCTTTTTCGCGCCATCTTCTTTAAATTCGCATGACTTCGAACATGGTGAAGATATTGGGGATATGGTAACTATAACCTTTTTAAACATACCCAGAACATTTAGATTTTGGTATTTCTATTCTTCATTTCATTAACTATCATATGTAACACTGTGTGACTTTCGGATAGTCCTGCAGCCCCACTTACAGCCCTTACAGTCAAGCTATTTATGGGTATCAATTCCACCATACAGTCTAAAACTTTTCAAACGAACATCGTAATCATCTAATTGCTTCTTTATTTTTATCAGCTTTTTGCACTAAGAAGGAACCAGCGGACATGGGTTTCCGCTTTTATAATCCAAATTTACCTAGCCTTTCTCTTTTTTTTAATCAATTACAAGACTTTGTTTCATTTTATAGTCACTAATAATCATTATTCAGTGTTGTTGATACTGTCAATATGAATTAATGTAAATAATAATTTAATTTTAAATTTACGTAATGACAATGTATTTACTTTAATTTTCTTGTAACCATAGAATTGTTTTTGTTAGTTGAGATTACAAAATTAAAAAATTAATCGACTTACCTTAAGGAAGATTAATTGTAATTTTTCGAGCTTGTCCGTAGATATAATTACATTGTATTTTCCTATCTCTTTTCCGAACAATCTTTTATCTCTCTTTGCCTGTGGTAATTTTTGAGCTGACTAAACAATCAGCTTGGCGTCACCAATATCAATTTAATGTTTGACAACAGAAGTTCTGTCTGTTTTTTCTCCCGTTGGTATAAATAAATTCCTTTGTTTTTTCTTCTCCATTTGATTCAGATATTGGTCAGCAACTGCAATAATTTGCTCAATCGAAAGTAGTTGTTATGGAAGTTACTGGTACATATGTTTCGATTCTGGACTCTTTCTTGGAAGAAATTGGCTAAATATTGTTACGCAGCACCCTGCAGTAGCCTGCGGCTATCATAGGAAACGTACAGATAGAAAAAGAAGTGGAATGTTACTCATCGCTCTATAGTGTGCTGCGGTCGTCATAAGTAAAAGTACAAGTAAAAGAAGAGAATATTCCAGAAATATCCAGAAATGTCATTACCCGTCAAGAATATTCTACTACTAGAGCCCAACTGTGTCGTTATAACTCACTATGTACTAGATATTATTCAGTTAATAAAAATGTTGTAAAAAAATTAGTTGTGCTTTTTTAACTTGGCCGAGGTCAATATACTTGGTCAGTTAGTGCTTATATTCTGAGAATTGCTATGTAGCTTGTTTTATATGGCGAATAAATCTATTTTTGCTATAAACAATAACGTGCTTAATGAAATTTGAACATGGTTTGAAACGAGAGAAATATTTACTTAGTACCTGGCATTGGGCGACATGACTTTTGATTTTTTAAAAATGTTTTCAGATGTTAGTTCATTTGGAGATAAAGCTCGCGGATTTAGATTCTTAATCCTAGATTGCACTCCTGATTTATCGCCCCGCATGTTGGACCCTCTGTCATATCCCTGCTCTCTTAGAGTTTGATTCAGATGCTTCCAACTTTTAAACCCATCCTTTGAAAGGGAACTAAGCACACAGCCAAAAATTTTGCAGCAAAAGCAATATACGCAATTTGTTGAGACAGAGTACACTAGCCAGTCTCTTAAAATTTGCTCTCCATTACTTAATAATTAGGGCTAAATTTTCTACCAGTCTCATTGTATGGAAATCTATAATTGTACAATGGTTTAGGGGGACCTTGCCTTACCAAAAAGATTCTTTAGGCGTCTGGTAGTATCATTGGTCAGAGTGCTGGATCTGTACTTAAAGGTTTGTCATATGTTTTATAGTTTAACAGGAATTCCCAAAGCAGTCGTTATCCACACCCCTGGTGTCGAATGAATTTTTTAAAAGAAAATATTTTTCTATTACACACCCGATTGTAAAAATCATTCTTAATCGGTTCTACAAGAAAAAACTACAAACAATTTGCAATTTTATACCTAGATTAGCTTGGTAGGTACTTGGCGGTCATTAAGGTTAATGTAGAAGAACATGTTTTCTTAATTCCCATAATTGATGACGGGTTAGTAAATAAAAAATGTTATAATAATCATAGTTTTTCATTTATATTTGTTTAATAATACAACTCTTTATTAGCAGTTTTGTAATTGCTGAAAACACAACACCAATTTGTATTGTTAATTCAATTATTAACAATGATTTTAATGATATCTCTTTGAATATTGGTTAAAAATAGGTTATAATACATGATCTAATTCACAATTATTATGAAATAAAAATAATCCTCATTCAATTATTAGACAGTAGGAGTAACTATTACTCATAAAGCCAAATGTCTTTATTATTCAATAACCTAGGTAACTTCTTTTGTTACAATGTATATTTAAACCTAATGACTTTTTTATTGTTATATATATGCGATGTACGAAAAAAAATTAACGGTAGTTCGTTTGTGCATTTCAAGAATGATGGTCAATTTATTTACGAAAACGATTTATTGGCTTAAAATTAAAGCGGGATTTGCAAAAAAAGAAATTCAAAATGACAGGTAATAAAAACGTTTTATAGTGTTTGTGGGATATACATAGTGTAATACAATGTTAGTTACTAAAGTGACATCGATAAAATAGCATTTTTGCAACCATTAAACATCATTATAGAAATTTTCAGTATAGTGTCAAAAATGGATGTTATGGAACAAAAACAGAACTTTTAAGCGGCTATTCTATAAATGCTGTGTTGAAAATGTACAAGGTTCGTCAGTGAAACGGAAAAATTTAAGCAATCTGTCATTGATTTACCTTTTATTTTTGGTAAATAAATATTATTATTACTATTGGATCACCCGGTAGATAATTTAGCAGTCTAATTTGTGGGCTTCCGGTATAAACAAAAGTTATTAAATAATTTATAATGAATAGAGGGCGGAATATATGCATCAAAATATAACAAAATATGCGCATATATATGCATCGTTTTTACCAAAAATATGTAGTTATTTTGTCCAATTATGCCTAAATATGCAAATGCATATTTGTTTAAAATACTTAAAAAAAAGTAGGGGGTGGGTAGCTCAGTGGTTAGTGCGTTGGCCTGTGGACTTAGGGGTCCCGGGTTCAAATTCCAGCCGGGACGCGATTTTTTAAATTAATTAATTTATTTAAAAATTAATTCTGATGCCTAGCGAATATTTCCACTTGACCATTCACTGTTGGGTTCTAATTAATATTGCTGTTCTTAATTTGGTACGCTATCAAAGCCATTACACGAAAAAAAAAAACAAAAGAAAATATGTAATATAAAAATTTATTTAAAACAAACGAAACACAAAAACTAGTAGAAATTAAGTATAGAATAGTATAAAAATATTAAATAGTAATATTATAATAGGAATTTATAATTAAATATTTTTCGAAATTTTCTATTAAAAATTTTTGTCTTCTGTCTGTAAAAATATGTTTTCATACAGGAAAGGTCCTTTCAACATATACCGAAGTAATAGGACAATACCGTAATTTTGGAAGTAATGTACAGGGCCAACGTAAAACTTCTTTGGAAAATTTTCCTTCAAAAATGTTTTTCACTTCCCTTATTTCATTGAACTCTTCATTCTTTAATAAAGTTGTATGTAATTTTTTTCTAATCGTAAGGCCTATGTCACCAGGAACATTGTTACATTTATCGGAAACTGTTGCAATAAAATTTGTTGATTCGATTAAACTTAAATTTTTCTTTTCCAATGAAGTTATTACATCAGGTAAAAAACTAAAATTAACCTTTATAAACACAAGTTGCTTAGGCACAAGGTGATTTTTTAACAATTCTTTACTTTGCACTACACATTGTGAATTGTCTTCTATATCCAAAATTAAATCCTTAATTGCTTCAAAATTTTCTGCATAGAATATAGCTGCTTTAATCCATGTCCCCCATTGCGTAATTACGGGTTCCGGGGGCAAACACACCCCTACCATTCTCTCTTTATACAACTGCACTCTTAAAGGGGCTTTTAAAAATATTTTTTTCACATTCGAAATTAGCTTGTTAACCAAGGGATATTCTGTTCTCACAGTTTCTGCAACTAAGTTTATTCCATGCAGAAGACAAGTAACGTGGACCATATTTGGATAAAATATTTTTAAGTTTTGCCCTTCTTTTATCATATATGGTGCTGCGTCAGACAAAAACACTAAGAACTTCTCTGAGGGAATTTGATTTGGTAAAAAAAAATTCTGCTAGAGATTGTTGAATAAATCGGGTAACAGTTGTATTGTTAGTTTTTTCTAACTAATTTGATGCAATTAAATATGATGTACCTGGTTCATTTTCTTTTAAGGCTCCAATCATAAGATGTACCATATATCTTCCACAAGCATCTGTGCTTTCATCAACAATGATGTAAAAATTGCTATCATCCAGTAAAACTTTAATTTCTTCTCTTACATTTATATATATAGCATGTACATTTTTTTCTGAGTGTAGATTCGTCAGGAATGGTTTGATTGCAATATTTTTGTAAAAATTCTCTTAGATGTAGGTTTTGTAACTTCTTTAATGAAATATTTGCCGCAACAAGAGCTTTGCACAAGTCCTGATTAAATACCTCCTTGTCACTTTTTGTTTTGTCGGCGTTTTGAAATGACCTCACAACGCATTGTTGAACCGGTTGTGATTTCATTTTTTGCAATTTGGCTTTATGCAATGATGTTTTCACGTGTTGAACCACTTTGAACTTTTTTTTCGCAAACCACTATTTTGGCACAAGCTTTACAAAAAACTTTATCCCCATTGATTTCCAACTCTGGAAAGTTAATAATCCACGAAGAAATTCTCGACATTTTAGGACACTTTAAAACAACAAATTATTACAAGACTTTTCACTAGGCAAATAACGAGGATACTATCTCATTAAACAGAATGAAAAACATTCAAAATATTCCGATGTTAGGGTAGATTGGTTACAAGAAATTACTGAGAATTTTATATAAACCGTTTTATTGCATTGTAGGTAATACTTTATCTGTGTAAATACCATCTATTAACAATTACCTTAATGGACTTAATCTCTTAAGAAGGTAAAAACCCAGTGCATGCCACCCTCCAAGAACTAATTAACAAGAATTTACAAGAAGTGACACTTAAAAACAAATACAAAAATTTAAAAGGTGTTTATTTCAAATATATCTGTATAATCTGTTAAAACAGTTTTTGATTTGCACAGTATAGTAATAAATTTTTTTTTCGAAAATATGCAATATTTTCTTAAATTTTCTGAACTTTGGTAAAATATGCAATATTTTCTGAATTTTGGAAAAATATGCAATATTTTCTGAACTTTGGTAAAATATGCAAAAAATGCATTTTGCATATATTCCGCTCTCTAATAATGAAAATATCTTTAAAGCATTGTATATACTACACAATTTGAATTGAACAAAAAATATTTTTTATACACAAAAAGTTGATTATCATTGATGTATAATAAGAAAAAACCACAATAAACCACCTGCAATACAAGAGATCACTCAGATGCTGTTTAAGCGTGTAAGTAGGTTAATAAATTGAAGAAAAAAAAAAACGCCTACAGCCAGAAATGAACAATCTAACAGTTAAAAAAATTTAAACAACTCAGGTGTGCTGGAATCTAAAAGTTAACTATAATTTCGTTTTTCTGTTTAGGAGAATGTAGGTTAGATTAGGTAGTCGTATTTTTGTTTTAGTAAAATTCATTAAATTTTCGTGGTCAGTACTGCTGCTCTTCCAATTTTATTATTTGGTTGAATGTTTGTGAGTGTGGTTTATAGATGTTTAAGTAGATACAAAATTGGTGTCTTTGTTTCTAATTTCATTTAATATGTTTTAGACAGTGTAATTTCAGGATTTTGCAGTTTTCGAGTAGTAAGTTTTTATTAATTAAAAATTGTATTTATCACATATTTGGCAAAAAATAGTGGATTATGCATAATGTCATACGACATTTTTTAGTATGAATGTATAATAATTATAATAGTAATAGTAGTAATAACCAGGGCCTCGCAAGGGTTAACGCCGCATGCGTGCCGGAAATATGTTGGCGCCCTTTAAATATATGTACCCGATTATACACGCTTTTAGGTTTGTTTGGGATGGTTTATGATACATGAAAATTAAAAAAAAAATAGTTTACATCAGATGGTTACAATAAATACCGATTATACTATTAAGTAACTGCTATACTGAATGCTCCATATTGTGACTTAAAAACCGTAAAATGAGATTAACAGATGCTCAACATGTTTTTCACTTTCTTCATTAAAATTACTTAAGGCACGCGTAGACATTTTGTGCTTTCTCGCATACTAAGATATAAAATAATTAGAAGCACCTAATGGGTATCAACTGATTAACAAAATAACTTTTTCTTTGTTATTTACCTTTGTAAGGACAGCGCGATTTTATAATAATAATTAATAATAATAATAATGGAATTGCGCGAACTGGACGTGAGCACACGTAAGATAATTAGGAATTACATTAATTAAATCTATAGTATTTTTTGTTTTTTTTTTTGTAGCAGGTATTGAGAAAATAAAGATAGGTCAAAATCAAGATGTCTATAATCAGGAAAACTACCTATAAAATATTTTTATGCATGAGAGAGTAATAAAACAGCATTTCTAATGCAAAACTTAGTACAGTCATTTTAAATATTTTTACAGAATAATCTAAATATTTCCTAAAATTGTAATAAATGTACCTGAGCTATTACAAGTTTTGGGTCTTTTATTGGTCCTTTATAAACATAAGCTGTACAGAACAATAGAAAAAGGTTTGGACAGGCCAAAAGCCCTGTGTATTAAAGATTACATAGCCGTATCTTAAGATTATTTTCAATAAGTACCTATTTGCCAATTTTGTTTTATTTTAATTCCAAGAATTTCTTACAGTAATCGAATTATAAGTAGATAAATACCTTCCCAACAAATTTCACCGAAAATGCGATTATAGGTTTTCCATTTAGTAAGGAGGTCCAAGTTGTGTATTCTTGACAGTTTACTAAATATCGTTTAGTTGCAAATTGTAAGGTACAGTGTGAATTCTAGTGTGATCATGGAAAATTTGGAAGGGCCGCGTAAACGACAAAAAATCGGTCCTTTAATAGTTAATGAAAAAACATTAATATTTAATTGTTTTAAATCATTTACAGACAAACATTTATGTGAAAGTGTTGACACAGTGGAATTAGTTAGTAGTACGCTTGGTGTTGGGAAATCTACGATTTACATAGTTATTAAAGAAGAGAAATGTAGCGAGTTTCAAACAGCACGTAAAGCTCCAGGAAAACCAAAATTTCAATTAGAAAATCTTTTGAAAGAAAGACTTCGAAGGAAAGTGCATACGTTCTTCTTTAGAAAAAAAATTCCGACAGTAGACAAAGTTCTTGCCACGGTTCGAGATGATAAGGATTACCCTGAAATGAGTCGAAGCACACTATGGAAACTTTTAAAAGAAATAGGTTTTCTATGGAAAAAGCATTCCAGAAAGTCTATTTTAATAGAAAGAAGCGAT